TTATTAAAGCTACTTACTTTTTCTATGTTCTCACCTCTGAAAAGGCTCAGACTTAAAGTAGTAGGGCAGCACTGTTCTAAGGTGCTCCTCCTTTTTCTCTTGAAGAAATATTTTTGCTTTTCTTTTACAGATCATTTTTCTTCTGAGCTGCTCACACCTTGGACTGGTTCTGTCATCCAAGCATGTTCACACTAAACACTGCTTTAACTAGTTGGTGGGAGGGGACTTACAGAGTCTCTAATTCAACACCTCTGTGCTAGGCAGTACTACCACCAGCACAAGAGCAAATCAGCTCTGGCTTTTTCTACCAGTTTGGATACAGACTCCAATATATCTCTACATAACCTACCCTTGCACTGCACCAAATTCTTAGTGAAAAAATTTCTCGCACCATCCAGCCTGAACAACCCAAGCTAGAACCTGTGGCCATCATCACTTCTTATATCACCTGCCATCTGGATTTGCTGGCTTTGCAGCTCATCTTCAAGTAGCTATAGGCTGGTAGTAGATCATCTGTGAAATTCCCTTTTGCCAAGCAAACAAGCCCAGCTCTGTTAATCTCTTTGTAGGTCCCATACTACCACATTTGTAGCCCTCCACTGGACCATCTTTAGTTCCTTCACATCCCCCTTGAACTTCAGGGGCAGGAAACTGTGCACGGCAGTCCAGGTGTGGCCACACGAATAACTTCCTTCAGTCTCTGGCCATGTTCTTCCTAACACAGCGTGGTGTGTGGGTTTGCAATCAGAGCTTGCTGGTATCCATGGCAACTGCCAGGTCCTTCCAGTGGGGCTGCTCCTCAGCGACTCAGTACTCAGCCAGCAAAGATCTATGGGGTCACTCTGCCCTGCTACAGAACTCTACTCTCCTTCCTAAACATCAGAAGGCACCTGTTGACCCAGTCCTTTCATTTCTCAAAGTCCCTCTGGAGTGAAGCTCTTGTTCAGCATGTCAATTTCTTACCCTGAATTTTTATCATCATAAATTTCCTAGTTCCTTTTTCCTGTAGGATGACTTACAGTTATTCTCCACCAAAGACAGACTACCCATTGAGCTGTATGATTGTAGCTATCCAGACAGACACTTAAATGTCTTGACCTTCCTACTGTGAACCACACTGAGGCTAAAATATAAGAGCAGCTTTGAATGCTTTATTCACAGGAACAAAAGAATGAAATTATCTGAGCCAGAAGTGGCCAAGTACCCCAGGTACCGAAGCAGAAAACTATGGCTAGCTGCTATGGATGTGAAACTGCTGAACTTTCTTTGGCAATGAGCAGCCAAGGCTGTTTGGGGCACTAGCACTCATACTAGGAAATGGAGGAGGTTTTTATTTGGTTTTCTATAAATATAGACATGAACTTCTGCCAGTTTGTTTGCATTAGGTTAATATTTCTGTAGTGTACAGGTGTTGCTATAAGCTGTGAATGTCTGCTGCCTGTCTCTAGCCCTGCAAAGAACGGAGTGTGGTGCTGTAAATATTAGCCCAGGCAGAGAGTGTTTGCTCAGCCCTCCTCTGTGCTGCCTCCCCCAGCAGTACTCTGATAGTGCTCCTGACAAACGGCCCAGGCTCAGCATCTCCTGCACAGCAACGTGCTCTGGTCTTGACTCAAGGAGGGTTATAGTGATCAAAGCCTGGCAAAAGCAGCAGAAGCACCAGTGTGCTACAGTCTTCATCAGATTAGTGCTACATAGAATAAGGTATGACTGAGTAACCCAGCACAGACTGCAAACAAAATACTTCTGTGGTAAAACCCCTTCTTTACTGGCTGTGGCAGTTGTGGATGTGGAGAAGAAATGTCTCACACATCACCGGGACTGCTGCCTGCTTTAATGCAGTGATATACAGTGATTTCAGAGGAAAACTCATGATTTTTGCTCTCAAAAGGGCAATAATGGAAAGGACTGCCCTTTCCATTAATGGAAAGTCCTCCCCAATAATGGAAAGGACTGTCCATTGCTGTTGATTTGAACAGAAGAAGGAACTATCCTGCAGATACTGCAGGGCTCTTCCTGCTGCCAAAGACAGGAACAACAAATGAGCAAACAGCACCAGCATGGTGAGTGGGTTTCCTGTTTCACAGAGGACCCCTTTATGCACCTTAGACAGAGTATTTTTTTCATAAAACAAAATACCGGCAAAGACCTGACAAAAATTTACTTACTATGAGCCTTAGTCACATATCTGTTTCATAGAATTATAGAATCATGTAATTGTTGAGGTCAGAAAAGACCTTTATAAGATCATGGAGCCCAGTCATTAACTCCAAGCCACTGCCAAGACCACCAAGTGCCCCATTTACATGTCTTTTAAATCCCTCCAGGGGTGGGGACTCCACCACTGCCCTGGGCAGCTATGCAAGGGCTGGACAGTCCTTTCTGTGAAAAAATTCTTCCTGATGTCCAGCCTGAATCTCCCCTGGCACAGCTTGAGGTCATTTCCTTTTGTCCCATCCCTCATTCCCTGAGAGAGTGAGAAGGTCCCCCCTGAGCCTCCTTTTCTCCAGGCTGAGCCCTCCCAGCTCCCTCAGCTGTTCCTGGAGCATTCCCTGGGGTTGTTGTGACCTAAGGGCAGGATCCAGCACTTGGCCTTTTTGAACCTCATGCAATTGGCCTCAGCCCACAGACCCAGCCTGTCCAGACCCCTCTGTAGAACCTTCCTACCCTACTACTGCCATCCAGCTTGGCGTCATCTGTCATCACAGGACCTTACATGAACCTGCAAAGAGCAACAAATACAACATAAAGCACAGAACTGGGGCTAAAAGCAAAGGAAATCAGATCAGAGTTGATCACTGTTTATGTAGCTGTTTGAGAAGGTCATAGGCCTGGACCTTGCATGGAATTAGAGAAACTGATTCCTGACATATTTTACATTACACTGGTAGGTGACCCTCACAGGTCAGAGCTGGCCTATACAATTTCAGATGGAAAGAATGATGAAAGCCTCAGTCGTGAGAGACTGGTAATTATCCAACTCTCTGAGATGTGTAATGAGGTTACAGTGCTGGTAACCTCAGTGTGGGGAGGGAGGAGTAACCAAATAACCCTGTATGTCATGGGTCCTAGGCAGAGATACATAGAGGTCTGCAAAATCAAGAAAGGGACCCTTCCAATGCAGTCATAGGCTGTGCTGGCTATTGAAGAGTAGTGAATTGGCCAACCTTTTGCCAGACATCAAGTTAGAGCTCCTCTACTTGGCCATTTGCCAAGGCACCATGAAAACACAGTTACACATTCAGTGGGGAAAGGAGAATTTTTCCTTTCCTTTTATATCTGCTGCAGAGCATAATTCAAAGGTAAGTTAGTGAATCATTTCAGAGGGCTTTGGGTGAAGATTTATAATCACAGAATCAGAAAAACAATCTGGAAAGGAACTTGAAAGATCCTCTACGCTGTTCTCTTATACCAAGCTGGACTTACCTGTCTACAACTGTTCTTAAAGGTCCTGAGCACATACAATCTCTTATTTTATTTCCCTCTCTTATTCTTCCCTCCCCACGAAAGTTGTTATCCTATTGTAGAAAAAAATGTATTAGTCCTTGACAAATCCATCTGGGAGACAAATAGCAAGTCTGTTATTTTCCTAGAGCTTGAAAATTAATCGTTTGTATCCTTGCCTTTATTGAGGTACACACACTGTTTTCTCTTCCCCAGGCTTTTCTCCTGTGAAATGCTGGCTACCAATTCACTGAGTTTACTGAAATCTACCTTTGCTTAGGAGAAGCATAAAAAGAGCAAAATAGAAACAACATACAAAGGATCACAGACTGACAATCACTACCCTCCCAATTGCCCTTTACAGTAATATTCCTGAAAGGCTACACCTGTCACCTACATCAGGTCTAGCAGAGCTTCCTCTCCTGAGGTTGTCATCATCTTCTATATCCAGAAAGTTGGTAACATGTTTCACAAAATCCCTGTACCACTGGTACTCCCGTAATGAGGGATGTCTGGGGAGCTCTTATCTCTCTCTGCTGTGCAATGGATGATTCTGCATGGTTTTGCTGCCAAGCAGCCTGGAACACAAATGGCAGTGCCCAATTTTCTTTCCTTTTAGCCATCATTCAAATCGTGTAGGAAAGACGCTGCTAAGGTGTCAAAGTACACAAATCCATGACGTAGAATGCACAATCTCTTCTTTTTCTCCTGCCTGTTACTCCTCACAAGTTGCACACTAGTCTACTAATCTTCCAGCCATATTAGTAATCCAAACAGCTCTCCACTGTGTGATTAAAAGCTTTCAGATCTACTTGTTTATTCTTACCACGTCTCACAACAACATAAAGTTCACATCAAGCCAGTTCTTGTTTTTTAATACTGCCATTACAAATAAATCTCTTTGCTCCTAGTTTTTCTTCAGTCTAACTCCTCTGTTTCCTCCTCCTGAATGGTAACTTCAAACAATTCATTTGAAAGTTACAAAGGCTCTGTCCCATGCACCATTTTCCTTAAGCTCCTCCAACTATTAAACTTTGATTGAACTTCAAGCCATGGTGAGAGTGGTTTTCCTCTCCTCCTTAAGCTTGAAGTACAGCCTCCAGCGTTTGTGGACGGAGTGACTTTTTTGCACTGGTTAATGCGATCTTGGGGTGCAAACTAAAAGGAAGGATCTGTTCAAAAGAAGTACAGCTGCCTAAATGCCAGGTGGGCTCTCGGAAATGCCTAGGTGCACACAGGCAGCTCCACCAAGGCGGAGCCAGCAACAGGTGAGAAACTTAACACAACACCCTTCACAACAAAGCCAAGAAGCACCAGGGGAATCTAGTCAAAAGCCAGTCAGCATCTCTCCTCTGCAAGAACACTCCCTCTGGCTGAGACTTAACCATCCTTTACCCAGGTACGCCCCCGAAGGTGCGCAGTCACAGCTCTGCCCTCGGCACCGGGATGCGCTGAAAATCAACAAACAAACGCCCCTTTCGGAGCAACCCCGGGGTGGGCAGGGCCGGACCGGGCCGGGGGCGGTGCTCGCCGCCCGCACCTCGACGGGGCGGGCCGGGCCCGGCAGAGCCGAGGCGGGGCCGTGGGCTGCGGGGGGAGCGGCGGCCCCGGCGCTCGGAGACACCGACGGCGGGCATGGGGCTGGCGCTGCTGCTGGGGCTGCTCCTCTCCAGAGCCGGTAACGGGGCGCGGGCGGGCAGGGCAGGGCAGGGCAGGGCAGGGCAGGCAGCGCGTCCCCGTCCCTCTCCCGGCGGGCGGACGGCGAGACCGCCCGCACCCCGGTCCCGCTGCGGGGCGGCTGCAGGCGGCGCCGGGATCGCGGCCGTTCGGGTGACCGATGCTCCCCACGGTGGTCCCCACGGTGGTCCCCGCGGTGTTCTGCACGGCGCTCCCCACGGTGCTCCCCGGCGGCGGGTCGGAATTCGTGTTTCCAACCGGGAAAGGCGGCTGCTGCTCTGCCCGGAGCGGGGAGTCGCCAGTGTGGCTGTGGCCAAACTGGAGGGACGCTCTGGGGAGGGGAAGGTCTGCCCTGGCGGCGAGGGGTGAGGAGCGAGGGCCGATGCCGGAGCCGATCCCTGAGGAGCGAGGGCCGATGCCGGAGCCGATCCCTGAGGAGCGAGGGGAGATGCCGGAGCCGATCCCAGACCGCAGCCGGACGGGTACAACGCGAGGATGTGCCTGAGGGGGTCCCGGCTGTGCCGCACTCTCGCTGGCTTCGCCCAGAGCAGTTTCTGATACCTACCCCCCACCCATTCTCCCTCGAGAGTGCTCCGGACCCATAGTTTTTCGAGGAGAGGCTCAGTCTGCCGAGACAAATCCAAGGAGCTCCTGCAGAGATGCAGCTGATGCCTTTTATTACTGCCAAATCATAAGAGCCGAGGGTTGAAATTATTCCTCTTTTTCCAGTTAATCTCTTGTGCAGCCTTCGTGGCTGATGTGACTGGGAACACAGAACCTCCAAACGGCTCTGAAGCATTCCTAGACCCTGGCTTATGGGATGTCAGTGCTTTACACTCAGGAAAAGCTGCAGCTGCTGAATATCACAATGACTGTTGAAAAATGGGCTGTTGCACCTAAATCTCAGTAGTGCTGTCAGCCACAGGGTTACGATAGATTTCTCACACTTTTCCATGTTCAAATGCCAGTTCTTCTTTGTAACTGTTTACAGAAAGGTTTCCCTTCTGTAATCGTCCTCTCTGTCAATACCATGGTGCACCATAGGCAACTGGATATACATATCTATATTGAGGGAAAAGGGAGAAAAAAGATACATTGTACTACCTACCCATTTTTTCTAAGGTATAGATAATAGTAGTCTCTTAACTGGTTATCACCTTTTACCTTTTTTTTAGCTATGGAAGGGATTCCCATACCCATGTGTCTGTAGAGGAGGACTGTTTTAGGTTTGAGGTTTACAGCAGCTTTACTTGAACCCACTGTGCTAGGTACAAAGCATTTCTAACAAGAGGCTTTTTGGGGAGCTTAGAAAATCATCGAGTTTCTATGTAAGAGCCAGATGAACTACAAAGTGCAGCAAACTGATAGAAAAATAAAGAAATTTGTACAGATGAGACAAAGGTACCTGTATACAGTCTTACTGCGCTGTAGGAAAAGTAGAAAGTCTGAGAAGCAGACTGGCGTAGAATTATGCAGACTACTGCCTACAGCAAATAAACTGATGAAGCCAGCAAAAGGGAAGGGAGTGAGAAAACAAATTAGGTGGTGAAGATGATATGTCAGGCAATATGAGCTTACCAAGATTTTTTCCTAATCTGTAGTGAAGGCAGACTGAAATAGTACTACTGCACCTGCTGAACAAAGAGTGATAGGTAAGATGATGTACCCAAAGAACATTAAAGGGGTGTATATATATATATATATATATATATATATATATGTTTTTAGCAAACTGTCTTGTTCCAAGACTTCATTGTACTTGTACTGTAAACACAGGTTCATAAACTGCAGACATGAAGAACGATTCAGACTGAATTCACCTACCTGTGACAACATAATAATAGAATCATAGAAAGACTTGGATTGGAAGGGACCTTAAAGCTCATCTTTCCACTCCCTGCCAGGGGCAGGGACACATTTCACTAGACCAGGTTGCTCCAAGCCCTGTCCAACCTGGTCTGGAACACTTCCAGGGATGGGGCAACCACAGCTTCTCTGGGCAACCTGAGCCAGGGCCTCACCACCTTCTGAGTAAAGAACTTTTTCCTAATGTCTAATTTAAATCTCATCTCTATTTTAAAGTTGTTTTCCCTTGTTCTATCACTATCTGCCTGTATAAAAAGTTGCTTTCCCTCTTTTTTTTAGAAGTACCCTTCAGGCACTGGAAGGGGCTTTAAGGTCTCCCCAGAGCCTTCTCTTCTCTGGGCTAAAAACCTCCTGCTCTCTGAGCCTGTCTTTAAAGCAGAGGGGCTACTGCCCTTGAAGCATCTGTGTGGCCTTCTCTGGACCTGCTCTAACAGGTCCACAACTTTCTTGTGCTGAGGGCCCCAGAGCTGGATGCAGCACTGCAGGTGGGGTCTCACAAGGGCAGAGCAGAGAGACAGAATCTCCTCCCACAGTCTGCTGGCCAGTCTGATTTTGATGCAGCCCAGGACATGTTTGGCTTTCTGGGCTGCAAGTGCATGTGGCTAGCTCATCCACAAGAATCTCCAAGTCTTTCTCTGCAGGGCTGCTCTCAGTGTGTTCATCTTCCAGTCCAGATTCATGTCTGGGATTGCCCTGATCATGTGCAGCACCTGCGCTTGGACTTGTTGAACTTCATGAGGTTTTTGTGGGCCCACTTGTCAAGTTTTTCCAGGTCCCTGTGTTAGGTGTCACTCCTTAGGAGACAACAGTCCATATAAAAAAATAAAAACTGAGAAAAAAACCTGGTTTTAAAGATTCTATTGTTTAATCCAAGATTATTTAATACTTCCACATAAGGTAGCACGTGTGTATATATGTATAATCAGTGCGTGTGTCACAGAAACATATGTACACACAGAGATATAGGCAAGGGTTTACAATCAGTCAACAGGTGAAAGCTGGCAGGCTAAGCCTTCATCTGCATTTTTGGCAGGGATTTCAGGGACTGGGTTTTATATACTTAAAATGACTGCATATCAGCACTTCTAGATGAAGCTCCTTGCATCTTATGTTAAGGATTTGTTTTATTATGCAAAAAAATACACGTCCTTATGTTTTCAAGCTCAGTAAAGTGGTTGTTTTTACACCCTATAAATGGCTTTCTCAGTACATCTCTTAATGACCAGCATATACTTTAGTAATTGCAGCAGCACTGACTCACAGCACACAGTATGGTGTTACTATGTGCTTATTGCACTGCGGTTTTCACTGCTCAGATAGAAGAGCTTCTTCAAAGCAGGCCTCAGCAATCTCGAGGTTTCACGAGGATCTACTGCTCCATAAAATACAGAGCCGAGTTGAAAGAGTTAAGGGTGATTAAAAAAAGGTTGTATTAAACAAAATTTATTTTGAGAATTTTATTTGACCTTTTGTTCCCTCTTTCATAAATACTCATCCTTTTGTGTCTGACTGGAGACAGCTCTTGTTCCTTCCTACTCCATGTGATAGACCCCAACGGGTTCTGCCTCTCACGTGGAGTCCTTGCTGCAGACAGGATGCCTGCAGAACAATGACAAGGTGCTTGTGTGGCATTCATCCTGACTGGGGTCCTAACAATCTTTTCTCCTCTCGACCAGGAGACCTCCTGGCTCTGCCCAGGAGTGACTGTGTCGTGGCAGAGCAGCTGTGCCTCTCGGACTCCACCTGCAATGCCACGTACAGGATCCTGGAAAACTGTGCCCTGGCCAAGACTCGCCTCCTTCCACTGGATCACGATAGCAGGGTCAGATGTCTGAATGCAGAGCTGGACCTTGGGAACAGCTCTTTGCTGCACTGCAAGTGTCACCGGCGCATGAAGAGACAGGAGCACTGCTTACGTGTCTACTGGACCGTTCACTCCAGCGTGACAGATGGTGAGATGAAATAATAGGAATTTACAGGGTAGTAGTAAGGCTTACCCCTGCCCCCCATCTGAAAACAACTGTGAAAGGCCACTTTCCCACGCTGCAGGTATTGCTTTTGGAACCACATCTCTTGGTTAAGAGAATTCATTACTGCTGTGTTTGATAAGCCGAGAAAACTGGTCTGGTCTGGGACCAGCCCTTCAAATGCACCAGGGACTCCAAGATACAAAGACAGCTACTCTGAGGCAGTTAAATTTAGCGCTGTAAAAAATACCTCAAAATGGTCCTATCTGTCCAGCACTGAAAAGGCACTGGTGATTATGACACACATGGTCAGGGCATCCCTGAACGTGCTGCTGCCTTTTTTAGTGGGATGCTCCTACCTGACCTCTCACTAAAGCCTGTCTGTGGTGCTCAGCTTCTCACTTGTACTGAGGCTGGAAATGCCAGATGACTTAGACCAAATTCCAGCCAGACAAAATGTAATGCTGGGTTTACACACTAGCACCTTTGCATTTCCAGCAGAATCATTCTTGGCATTTGGATTTGAGCAAGACAGAGGACCTCTGAACTCCAGCCTGAGGAAAGAGCCAGGCATAAATAAGAAAAATACCCATTTAAGAATAAGCAAACAAACAAATAAGCAAGTTGGTCACAAAGCATTTCCTCCACTGAATGAAATATCTTGTATCTTGCCTAGGTTATTTCAATTTGGAGACCTCTCCCTATGAGAACCCAGCAAATGAAGAACACTGGAAGACAGATTACAATAAACTGGCAGCTCTGGTATCAGGTAAGAATTGTAATGGTTACATGATATAGTGCTACCCTCTTACCTTTTTAGGGGCTGAAGATTATTAGGAGTAATTTGGGATAATGGCCCCTTTAATCAGAGGAATACCTGCTCTGTCAAGTGCAGGTATCAAGTGTAAATACAGCCACAGATCCAGGCTTATAAAACCGGGAATAATCCACAATGATTAATTTTAGGAAACAAGCACCCTGACATGAACTAATTAAAAAAATCCTCTTTTGTAACTAATATAACTACAGTGTCACACTGCAGGCACATGCAAGGACTGAATTGCTTTGTTCTCTGATGTTCCAAATCTGGCCATCAAGAAAGGGCTATTCCTTCTTCCACACAGGATCTCTTCTTGGGGCTTGGTTCATGGTTCATGGTTTCTGTCTTTCTTTTGGCTTTATAGGCTCGCAGTTAGCGGGAGATGCAACAAATCCGTGCCTGAAAGAAACTCATGTCTGCAATCTGAGCAAGAAGTGTGTTCGTCTGCGCACAGACTACGCCTCCATCTGCACCAGGACAGCGGGGAGCGAGGACGTGTGTGACCGGCGCAAGTGCCTCAGGGGGCTGAGGAACTTCTTTGAGAAAGTCCCTGAGGATTTCACCAAAAGGATCCTGTTCTGCCCATGTCAAGATGAATTTTGTGGAGAAAGACGCCGGAAAACTATTGTTCCTGATTGTTCCTTCCAATCTAACACCAAACCCAGTTGCCTCTGGCTGCTGGACTTGTGCTTGGAGGACCCTTTCTGCAAGTAGGTCTGGCAGCAGCAGATGTTGGCCAAGAGAGGAAAACAACATAGACACTGATGGTCTCGTTTTCCTTCCTACAGATCCCGACTGGCTGACTTCCAACAAAACTGTCAACCTGCAGACACGTCTCCAGATGGCTGCTCTCTGCACAACCACGCTGCATGCCTGCAGGCATACATGGGGATGATTGGTAAGTGATATCCACAGGAGCATACAGGGTGGATGCTTTCAGGCCACAAACTTGCAGGCACACTCTGATGCTGTAAAGGACCATCCTGCTCTCCTGCAGGAGGTGGTGCTCAGTGTACCAGTGAATATGCCTTACTAATTGATGCCAGTGCTACCCCTTGCCTCTGAGGCAGAAGCAGCCCAAAGAGAGCTCTTCCATGGCATTTATTCTGTACCTTGTCCCATCCTCTGTTGTCAAATCAGCAGCACTTGTCTGAGATTTCTCAACAGCTGTTTGCATCACCAACTGGTGCAAAGTGCTCTAAGGGCCTCATCAACAGGGCTCTTTGGGCTTATGTGAACTAAGTCATTCCTGATGCAGGAGTTACATCCCATCACAGCAGGGATTAAACACTGCATTCCATCACTGCCCAACTTCTATATGCCTGATGGTTTGTTAGTGTTGTTCACACTGTGTTCTCAGGGCCAGCCAGAACATGGCACTACCAGCTGTATGAAGGCAGGTCGTTTTTGGTTTCAGTTATTTACTGCCAACCAAACTGCCAGCACTTTCTCAGAGTGGCTCAAAAGAGGAGCTGTGAAGAGCAGCAGTATCTCAGAAGCTATAAATCTAGACTATACCTTCCATTTTTCCAGATATCCCTGCTGGTTTTGTGCTAAATGAACATGGCTGACTGGCACACTATGGGTGTGCAGTATTTGCCTGGCAAAGGCATCTGGCCACACAGTGTTATCAGCTGCTCAAAGAGCAGGAGCACCTTTTGCTGCCATATGGCAGTACTGGCTTCAGTACCCAGTACATCTCACCATCAGAGTGCCTGAGTCAGGGGTACCAATCTCCACACCCTCTCGCAGCCCAGCAGACTCCAGGTTGGTCCATCAGGCCTGGGTCACCTGGCTGGGAGTCCTGACCTGGCCTGGGTAACAACACACTTATCACAGTGCAAGGCTTCTGCCTCCAGGGCAGCATTCCCTTTAGTATAAAATGATTCATGATGCTTCTTTCATCCCGGGGTTTGGGACAGGCACACCCATGACACCCAACTATGTCAGTAACTCCAGTGTGGAGGTCTCCCTGTGGTGCACCTGCGAGAGCAGCGGCAACCAGAAGGAGAAGTGTGACCAGATACTCGGCATGTTTGAGAGCAACAAATGCCTTGGTAAGCATCAATCGCATCACAGACAAACAGCTCAGCATGGGAGAATTCAAGTCCTGTGGTTTCAAGATCCCACTTTGCACTGCTCTTGTGTATAGTTCTGTCTTTTTCTGCAATGTCTCCATAATCTCCTCTGCAACATATGGGACCAGCCTGGGTCTGCTCTCAGAAGTGTTTCTGTATCTTTTGGAAACACTTCTGTTCATCTCAAACACTATGAAGCTGTTTCCAAACACCATTCAAATGAAGGGCACTGCAGAAACTTCACTAAGGGAGGTCAGATGTGCTGTATCCATAGGTTGCTGAGTAAGGACATTTGTGAGGATTATGGGTTGGGATTCCCCTCCTGTCCTGGTTCCTCTACTCTCCTTTGGCCCTCACTTACTTGATCAAGATAAGCAGCTCCTGAGGCAGCCTCTTATTAGATTCAGCAGCATAGCAGATACAAAAAATCCTGTTACATGCAACTGTGTAATCCTAAGTCTGTATTTTTTTTATCTCCCTAACATTTTAGCAACATACCTTAATGAGATTTAAATATTTAATGTTTGTAAAAGCTTCCAAAGGTTATAAAAGAAACCAGCATCATTATGCAAAGGATTAATATTTAAACCTGCCTCCTGCAGTATAGAAGATCCTTACACCCAGCACTATAGATAAATTACAACCTAAACGTCCCCTCTGAGGTACTACAAATCAGCCCCTTACAAAGTACACAGTTGGGAAAGTCACAGAAGGACCCAAAAGTCCTCAAGTACAGTGCAAACACTTCTGCAGTCTGCTCAACCTCACAAGCAAACCCACAAACTGACAGGCCATTCACTGAACAGAGAATACGTATTTTCTAAATCAAGGCACACAGCCTGTGAGTGCATTTCCTAAAATAGCTTCCCTAGATTTCTGTTCACTAGACTCCAAGACTGCGCAAGAAAAGCACAATAAGACTCCTACTTTCCTTCTGTTTGCAGAAAATGCCATTTGGTCTCAAATGCACCTGAAGCAGACAGCTCTAGAAAGACAGGAAGACTTGCCTTTCTCATCTTCCTTAAGCTTCCAAGGAGACAGTGCCAGCACATCTCTTGCTTCAGAAATGTCCCAGGTACGTGTTGCTTTGAGTGAGTCAAGTAGCTTAGAGACAGTGGTTGAAAAACCTTGGACCTGGATGTGTGTGAGTGGACATCAAAGCGAGGGATGTCACGTGCATGTGGAACACTGGACCACTCTACCTAAAGCTACTTCTTTCACAGACAAGCAGAAATAGGAGGCCACGTGCCTGGCCACGGGAGTTTCAATAGCCTCACGTTAGTGCTCAGAACTGGAGGCTCCACAGCCAGAAGTTTGAGCACAAATGTGTCAAACTGGGACTCATCCCTCCTTTTCATTTCCTAGGTGGCTGAAAGGAAGATGCAGCGAGACAGCTCTGAACACAGCAGTATGCCTTTGGCCTCCTCTGAGCATTCTGGAGCTGCTGCTTCTTGGCCTTCTCTGGCTCTGTTCCTCCTGCCCCTGTTGCTGAGCATTAACTTGGCATAAATGGAATCTTCCCTTCCCATATTATTAATCTTATTCCATATCCAGGCACGTCCCACTACAGATTTACCTTTGGGAAACAGAAGGCTTTGAGACAAGAGGAATGGAACAGCCTTAACCCAGAATGGCAGTCTCTGGAAACCCCCCACCTACTTGCACCCCACTTTCCCCCCCGCCAGTTTGCACTGAGCTCTGCAGATGTGGCTCTCACCATTGCTTCTGCCATGTATGCATTGTGAGTAACAGTCAGGCTCATGTTCCAGTTTGAAACAAAGGTCTGAGCTCTGTCAGAACTTGTGCAGGGTTTGGTTTCTGACTGCGGGGATGACCTGACACAGGATGTCTGCCCACTCCACCTGCTGGAGCTCCTCCTCAGGCCTGCAATCACTGAATGGTTTCTGTTGGAAGGGACCTTAAAGATTATCTTGTTCCACCCCCCTGCATGGGTAAGGACACCTTCTACTAGACCAGGTTTCTCTAAGCCCCATCCAACCTGTCCTTGAACACGGCCAGGGATGGGGCAGCCACAGCTTCTCTGGGCAACCTGTGCCAGGGCCTCACGACCCTCACAGGGAAGTTTTTCCTAACATCTGATTGAAACATATGTTCTTACATATGTTTAAAGTCATTGCCCCATGTCCTGTCACCACAGGCCCTGGTGTATCTGCCCTTATCACCCTCCTTTATGTATTGAAAGAAGATCTACAACAGGGTCTCTACAGAGCCTTCTTCTCTCCAGGCCAAACCAACTCAACTATCTCAGCCTTCCCTCGTAGGAGAGGTGTTCCAGCCCCCTCCTTTTCATGGCCTCTTCTGGGACTGCTTGAGCAGGTCTATGCCTGTCACATAGTGGGTACCCAGAGCTGGATGCTGAACTCCAGGTGGGGGGGTGGGGTGGGGTGGAATGGAGGAGAAGAATCACCTCTCAGCCTGCTGGCCATGCTGCTTTTTATGCAGCCCTGGCTGCAAGATGGTTTTCTGGGCTGCAAGTGCCCGCTACCGACTCACATCCAATTTTCCATCTACCCATATCCCCAAGTCCTTTTCTTCAGGGCTGCTCTCAATCCATTCACCCCCCACTCTGTTGATCTTGAAGGCTGTCCCAAACCAGGTGTGGGATCTTGCACTTGAACTTGTTGAACTTAATGAGGTTTGTGTGGATCTACTTCCCAAGTCTGTGAAGGGTAAGCATATCGTCATAAAGACTGGCAGTCTGTGCTCCAGGGTGGGTTGCAAATAAAGCTCAATAAACAGACACATTAAGTCCTTGGTAAACACCATTTCTGGATTACTTTCAGTTCCCTTTTCAAATCCATTTTTTAAGTATATGAAAAATAGCATTGCAGATCAATGACACTATACTAGAGTTTATATTCTTGCTCCATTCTGTTTTACCCCTTGCAACATATATATAATCCATTATCACAGCTTGCAACACACTTGGGTTTTGTTGTTCAAGATAAACTTCTGTGCTCAGCTCCAGAAAATTTAGTTTTACCTAGCAAAAGATGATCTTGCCTGGCTTCAGGACAAACCTCCTCAGTAATCCCCAGGGAATGCATATAGCTCATTGAAGATGTATTGTCCACAAAACCCCTGGGACACTCAGTTGCAAAAATCTCCTTGTACCTGTGCACATACTCGAGTTGCCGTTGCCCCTTCCAGCTGCCTGCCCCATCTCCTGCTCCTCTGCCAAGTGCTGCTTCATGACCTGTTTATTCCGAGTGTAAATGTGTGCACTGTGTAACTGCTGTTAGTTTGTACTGCATTTGCCTGTTAAAATGTGGTGTTAAGTGAATATTGATTTCTAAGCATAGGTTAACAGTCTGCAATCAATTGTGTTCAAGAGTTGCCTCATCAGCCAGCCTACACTTTCGAATAGCCAGAAACTCGGCTCTAAACAGCTCCTCCACGCACACACACAGTGCCCACTGCTCTTCCTGAGAGGCAGCAGATCTGAACAGCACTATACACACCCAAACAAGATTACAGTCCTGAACAGAGGCAGAACAGGTGAGTATTCTTTTTATCCCGTGCTTTGTCTGTTGCCAGGGAAGCACCAGCTAGGTAATATGCTGTGGTTCCCAGTCACTGTCAGACGCCTTATTACAGAATCTTACATCGTCACATGTATCAGAGTAATTATCCTGCTGCAGGGGTAACATTTCCATTTCCACTTCCACTCTTCTGTTTACTTCCTGGGCAGGGAGAACAAGGAAACCACTGCATGGAGCAGAATGATCTCCTCTGCTACACAGAGAAGCAGTATCTTATTTCCGTGCAGTAGAACAAATACCATATCTTTTTAATAAATAGGAGTACTAATGCTGGTATTTCCCAATACCTACTGAAATATGGCTATTTGGAGCAAGAGACAGCACTAGAATGTTTGCTAGCATTCTTTAATAAAATCAGAATCCATATAACCATAATATAATACCTACATTAGACCATCCTCTATGTGGTGGGACTAGAAATGTGTCAACTCTTGACTGTAATGTAATAGCATCTGTCATCTCCAGAATTTAATGGAGAGTGACACTGAGGAAGAAAATGTTGTTCTTTGCACTATTCCACACATCAGAGAGAATATTTGTGAGTATAATGGAGTAGATTTCCCTGAGCTGTCTGTACCACACACACTGCTACACAATGTACTGCATTGATCATCTCCTCATCTGCACTGTGATCTTTCCTCTTTCCCAGCTTTGGTATTCTAAGACAGGCTGATGGTGAAGAAGGAATGAGCATTTTGTTCATGTTTAGGGCACTGTGGACCTTTAGCTCTTTACCCCTACTAAGAAGGTTATTGATGGCAATTGCAGTCTCCTGTCATGTCCTGGATTACACCACAGGAAAATAACTTGACACTGAGGCAAATCCTGCTCTGGACTGAAATTAAAGCAAAAAGTGTCAGTTTGGGGTTTTTTTCTGAGTGTCCTGCATCCCTTTCACATGCATGTTTATAAACCCAGCTGCCTCGAGAGGCTTGTTCATCAATAACTGCAAGCAAAATTCACCACTAACTACACCTGCATTCACAGGTACTCACACTGCGGGGAGTACAACCCCATTTTCACTTAGACTTTTCTAACACCTGATCTCCAGATATCACAGTTTTTCAACTACACAACATATATGCATGCACAAGTATAACTGCTGCTAGAAATGTCATGCCAGTATCAGTATCAAGAACAGTTCTGTCAGCACCACCAATGTTCCAAGGCTGGCAGAGTTACCCAAACCCATTCAGAACAGTTCTTACTGACCATACTACAGGGCAGTTTACAACCCCCTCTCAGCTTCTGTTCCCAGAAATTGGAATACAGCATCCTGTGAGCACATGTGGTCTCACAAAATATAATCCACAAAATACAAAAATAATCCAATAAAGATTCTCTATCCAGACAGTCTTAATATTGAGCTCTCAGCAACCATATATGAAGAGGGAACCTTCTAATTGTTGTAATGTAGATTATTTTTTAAAGAGTAAAATAATGCGAAGTCTCACTAATAAAATTTATCTTGCAACTCTAGAAGTCTCCTGCCTTCCTTTGCATTTAATAGAAGCTACACTCATTGTCTCCACTGCTGGAGGCATTATGGGAAAGAAATTCAAAGAACAGAGTTAGAATCTCTTACACAAAGCAATCTTAACAACTTTTACAGAGGGTACCCTGTCAGGTACTTCAGATGTGGCTTCTAGAACTCTAGCAGAGCTTTAGATCCCTCAACACGGTCTAATGTAGCATTTACAAAGGGCATTCAAACAGTCCTCCAGCAGGGAGCTCAGGCAACTGTTAGGTGAGTGGTTTCTTGTGACAAGTGGGAGAAGCAATGCACATTTCTTGCCCGAGGTCATAAGCAAGGTGATGACAGAGATAAGCCTTGAATTTGGAAGTCCAAAGTTATGGTGTCCTTCCCCCACTAAAATTATTCCCAGTGCCTTCAAGAAGTGCCTATGTTTCAATAAGAACCAAGTGCCTGCAGTTTTCCTTTTAGAAGGGGGAGCAATATGTTGTTGCAGATGAGGAAAAGCTAAGCCTTGCTTCAAACTGATTCCCTGGCACACCTCTCCATATCTGTTGACAATAAAAGGTAACTTTAATTTGACAGGAAGAAGCTACAAGTTCAGCATCTTTAAAGAATAAAGTGTCTTTTTCAATATATCCTAAAACCCACATCACTATTTGCCAAAATGGCAGGCAGTTTTACACAAGAATAAAAAGGAGAGTTGTCAAAATAATCTTTGAGGTGTCCATGAACCAGACAAAGCTTTTGGGAACAACACTGGAGAAAGAGGAAGCCAACCAGCACTGCTGAGCTCCACAGGATCGCTCAGCACTGCTATGGAATCACAATCCACAGCTATTCCACAGCTGCTTCCCCCATCGAGACAGGTCCTGGTAAATACGATCAGAGGCTAATCACTTCTACCCCGGGGACTTCGTGGCTGAACCTTTCTTCATTTGAGGGAGGGTGGGTTGAGGCTGAGCTTGGTTAGTCTCTAATGGAAGCTCTTCTGATAGGTGATTAGCTCTCCTCCAGGAAGTGACTTGGTGTTTGGGTTTCTTGCAAACCCCAGGGTTAGCAGAGGTCAGGGGATGCTGCACTTTCTCCAAGTGCCTTCATGAAAATAGCCCCACATACTTTCCATTTACAGCTGATCACCTCCATTATCCCCAAGCTAGGAGGAGATGATCAGCAATTGTTAAGTGCTTGAATCAGACTAATAGCTCACTGCTAATTCCCCCAGTAATGGGAATCTAAATTCCTGGTAAACAAACTGACTGCTTTTCACACACAGGGACGAATGCCAAAAGCCTAATATTAGAGCTCTGGAACTAAAGCTTTTAGAGCAATCCTGTCCACTCAAAGATGTTTAATGACATTATGTACTAAATAATTAGAAAATGAAGGCCCGCTTGGAATCAATGGGTTACTGTCTAATTAAGATGACAAAAGGGCTCTACCCTTTTTTAAACAAGTTTATACTAAAATGGTGTACCTGATAAATGGTGCTGATAACTATGTCTTTACCTTTGGGCAGAACAAGCAGACATTAAGCTAGCACAAAATAATTGTGTGATTTTTGGCTCATCTTTCTTCCCCTTGGTCTCTCCTGTTTTCCTGTAAGGCATGTGATTCAGCTGTTCCTCCCCCCATCAAATGACAGAATTTATTAAGCAACATTCAAATCACTTATCCTGATGGAGATAAAACCATCTTTGCCTTTGCAACAGAGTTCACACCCACAAGATGCTTGAAGAGCTGAGAGGTGTGGACTGGAGCTTCTAGAAGCACTTTGCAAGAAGAACTGCTAGTGAGCTTCTGAACACAGGAGAAGATTATCTACGCACAGAGAGAACTGTAAGAAGACTGAGAAATGTTCTACTGATAATATGGCTGAATTAAAATTAATTAGCAAATCACGTGGCATCCTTATCTCCAAACTGGAGAGACATGGGTTTGAAGGGTGGACTAATCAGTGGATAAGGAATTGGCAGCCAGAGAGTTGTGGTCAATGGCTCTGTGTCCGGGCAGGGCGAACAAAGTGCCACTGTACTCTCCTCCCATTCACTTTTCCCCCCCACCAGTCTAGCACTTAAATTGCCTTTTCTTCTATTTAAGTTTGCCCATTAGATACTGTCATTATAGGTCACTGAGCCCCACTGCAAGAAGCTGGAATTTCTTTAACCATCTGCACGCAGTTACTTGTTCTCCAGCTTTCCAAACCATCAGCTTTTTCTTTTTTTTCCCTCTCCCTGAAGAATCTTTTGATTAACTGAAGTCAATTTTGCTAAGTGCTAGTGGCTCTAAGAAGCTTGTTTTGTCAGTGATCCCCAGGGCTCCATTATGTTTTCAGGGCTGCAAAACAGGAATTGCTCTGTCTTTCTGTAGAAATGTGAGATTAGCAGCTAATTCTTCCAACCCCAAGTTCTTTGGATTTCACACCCATAATTCCAAATCAGGGTATGTGCATTTGTTATGACAGTTCTAGCAGAAATTAGCTAAGAGATTTCCCATCTTTTTCTCAATTTCCATCCGTTCTTGTGCAAAATTTTTAAGGCACAAGGAATCCAGATCTACAAATACATTACACAGCTGATTGCTATTCTAGTCCCAACTGGGAGCTGCAGTGGTATCACAACAGAAGGACTGGTGTGCACTGAACATTCTGAATATGCAAACACAAATCACAGTGTAAAGGGAATAATACAGAACTACAGATCACGGAGCAAATGCCAGTTTTATGGACATTTTCAACACAGGAAGGCCCTTAGACAGAGAAAGATCATGACTTGTCATGAAACAAGTTACTAAAACGCTGGGAATAATATCTGAGCAATTTTATTCATACTATGTAGGACGTAACATCCCCCCCATGGGGTTGAAATGCTAACATTAGGAGCTCAAGGCTGGCCTGTCTTCTCAAGCATCATCAAGTAACATCTTCCAGCTGGTAAATCAGATACAATAAAATGGTAACGACATGGAAAGATGATGAGCTGATCAATTTACTAAATTGTTTTTCATTTGTTTTTGACTGACCTCAGTTAGAAGATGTCACCCTGAGCCCTACTATTACTCATGATAGCATAGTATTGCTCAGGTATCCACCTGAGTCTGTATTTTAATTTAGGTTTTCAAGCACAAAATTTTTCAATTCAGATTCCAGTTGACTGTGTTAAGGTATTTCCAGTACTGAGTCTAATACACTTTTATTTTTTCTTCTTGAGATATCTTCTGTGGTTTAGTTCTGACTATATCTTCAATCAGCAATGCCACATAGACACAAGTAAAAATGATCTGCACACTTGCTAACCTAATAATTCACTTCTGCTTTTGGGTTAAAAGTTCACATAATCTCTCTGACAGGAGACTGAAGAAATTCTCCACGAGATTTTTTTTCCCTCCCAACTGCTCAGTGCCAACCACTGCAATTCAGGACTCAGAGAATCACAAAATTGATCAGGTTGGAAGGGACTGCAGTGGGTCATCTGGTCCCACCTCCCTGCTCAAGCAGGGTCATCCCAGAGCACACAGCACAGCGTTGTGTCCAGATGGAATATTTCCAGCGAGGGAAACTCAAATAGTACTCAGTGAAAAAACCCAACAACATTTTAAACACAGAGCAAGAGAAAGCAGCTTCCTCCACCACCTGTCACTGAAGCTTCCACAGAGGTAAAACCAGAACAGAATCCTGACTTCCCGTAGTTTTCCCTGAGACTCACAATCTTCTCCCAAAGAAAATGGGCAAACACATAGCTGGCAACAGCCCCATAATGAACCCAAACAGCTGCTCATGATGAGCTTCTGCAAACTAGTGTCTTTAACTTGTTACATGATGTAAAAAAAAACCATTTTATTTTGCAGATGTTGAAATCAGTATTTCCCTGTCTGAGAATTGGTGTTTGTAATTCTGGCAAATTGGAAAGGGCAACAAGCAGATTGTCTCTTCAGAATCTAGCAATAGTTTTGGTTTGATTTAAGTCCTTTATATGTGATGACCTAAAATTTCTGATTTCATGACCTAAAACATACAAAATGACCCATTTGTCCTCAGGTCTTCATAGCCCATCTTTATCTCCATTTACACTTTTTTTTGACAGCCACAAATCAGTCAAAAGAACTAATAATCCATGGGGAAGGAATGCACAGAAAAGCATCCAGTCAGTGAACCAGCTCTGGACAGGCTTCCCAGCAACATAACTCCTGGACACACAGGCAGAAATGTAGACAGTGGGAAGATGAACCTGCTTTGCAAGGTATTTGAAAGCAAAGTCGATCCTTTACATGGTCTGTTTTGCACAGACTGAGCTAATCCGGACAAAATCTGAAATAAAAGGACACATTTCATAACACAAACAAGTGGATGGCTTCAAGCAGGGGGCTCTTTTTCAGCCTAATGCAGATGTCAGTTAATTAGAGTAGAAGGTTATATCATTAGCAGCCAAATCGATATAAAAGGAATTAAGAGCTTGAATAGCAAGCTCCCCTGCTTTCCAGCACAGCACCCGGGGCTGTATTTAGCCAAGATTCAATACACATTAGCGGACAATCACTGTAGTCTTGTATGGGGATGTCTTCTTGAAATACTTTAATTGGACTCTCTAGTGTTATCAGTGCTAAACAAGATGTCAGATTAACGTAGAAGCCCTTCCCAAATGGGACCAGCAGCCCACAGGCTGGAGAAGCCACATTTACTTCTATTAAAACCTCACTGGTTTTCCAACATGTATTAATAATATTATTTTCACAGTTACCTTAAGAAAGAGTGACTGAAAAGCATCTTTACATACAGCTGCTCCATCCTGTAAAACTCACCCACCCCCATACTGGCAACGCCAAGATCCCCTTTTGCCATTTCAGTCCCAGGTTTCATTACTCAAGAGCCCATCAGTCACACCAGACCCACAGTTTTGACCCTGAATTTAACACCTCTGCAGAGAATACAAATGTATATTGAATTAGGCAAATATAAAATACTCAACTGACAACTCCTGTAGCTGGTGAGATTTGATATGACAGCATT